ATGTCCCAAGACCAATGGCCCAAGACCAACGTCCCAATACTAACGTCCCAAGACCAATGGCCCAAGACCAACGTCCCAAGACCAATGGCCCAAGACCAACGTCCGAAGACTAATGTCCCAAGACCAACGTCCCAAGACTAACGTCCCAAGACCAATGGCCCAAGACCAACGTCCCAATACTAACGTCCCAAGACCAATGGCCCAAGACCAACGTCCCAATACTAACGTCCCAAGACCAATGGCCCAAGACCAACCTCCCAAGACCAATGGCCCAAGACCAACGTCCCAAGACAAATGTCCCAAGACCAACGTCCCAAGACTAACGTCCCAAGACCAATGGCCCAAGACTGTTTTGTACCAAGACTGCTCTGGTCCAAGATTGCCCCAAGGCTGCACTGTCCCAAGACTGTGTTGCCCCAAGACTGTCCCCAGACTGCAATGTCCCAAGACTTCTTCGGTACTGTCCCAAGACTCGTCACTGAGTGTCTGGATATCGGATCTCTTTCTTCTTCGTTGTAGGGACTTCTCGATTCACTGTACCTTGTACCACCACTCAAGCTCTAGTGAAAATCCCAAAAACCCTCTCTTAATGGCCAAATGCTAACCCCTCTTTTTGAATTACCTCTTTTTCTATGTTCCAAGCAACTTGAAACCAAAACCTGTGCGCAGGTATCTTGTGATCACCTGTTAGTATAAAAATCAATCGCAAATCCTCACCAAAACGCAACAATATATATAAAAAAATATTTTTAAACAAGAAAAAATAATAAAACAGAGAAATCAACCCACCTAAAATTCAAAGGAGACAAATGTCGACCTTCTGTCGAAAAAAAAATGTCTGGTACCTAACTGCCACGCGTTTTCCTCCCCCCACTAGCGATCTTATGGGGTATCACAAAAACTGTCTATATCCGTTCCCCCCTACCAATCCAACCAGCGTACCAATCTTAACTCGAGTTAAATTTTGGATATCCACCTATTATTACCAACGCGTGTTGATGGCTAATGTAACTAAATCAACGATGTCGATTAATTAGTTACTCTAATTTCCCCCCTTTTTACAATTTACAACCGCCAACCTCTAACCTAACCAGCCCCCCTACTAACCTCCCCCCTCTTTAGCCCCCCTCTTAAGCCGAAAAATCCCTTAAGCGCCGGGTGCTAAACCTCTCGAGAGAAAACCGTAGACCTGTTTCCAGGCCTGCTTGAGTAAAAACTGCCTCAAAACAATGGGACTCCGCTTATCCAATTTTACACTTATTTCCTATAATGTAATGTGGATTCTAACGATACCCGTTGTTCGACTTGAGAACACCCCTGTGCGTCCTCTTGTAGTGGTCCTGTGCTGTTTGTCTCTGTTCTGCACTTGACAGCAGAACCACTTTCCCACTCGACTGGTCACCTTTTCCAATCAAGTCTCCTAGTGGTCCGTTTCGATCCTTGTGAACCACTTTCCCACTCGACTGGTCACCCTTTCCAGTCAAGTCTCCTAGTGGTCCGGTTGGGTCGCAATCTATCTGAAAAACCTTAACAACGCCCCCCACTCGGGCACCTTCCTGAAGTCACTGGTTCAAATTGCTAGATTGATCGAAACGATCGGTCTTATAAAACAGTATGTGTATACTATTTAATTAATACAAAGGTTTGATCCAACTAATTTGGTATCAAAGTCACTGTCTTTTTTCGTTTTATGGTTTTTGTTCCTTTTTGTATTCTTTTTTGCTCGTGTTTTTGTCCCCCTAGTTGCCCCCCTTCACTCGGTTAGCTAAGCCTCGTTCAGAGAGCGTACCAGGAAGTTTTCTTGAGTTTTCTTAAAAAGCTATCACGGTACAACCGGAAGGTTTACACGTTCCCGCTGAACCGTACCACCGGTACTCTAGAATGGGCATGTAGCCCGGAGCTGTGTCAAGTGGGTTCGACTCCGTAGTCATGATGTCGTAAAAACACCCAGGAGCGCCATAAAAACACTATGTAACATTCGTCTACTGTAGTCACACATGAGGCTTAAGAAAAATAGGCCCTATAACCATTGGCTCAAGAGTCAGGGACACTATCTCTTGTGTTTTTCTACCTCAAGAACGGTCGGAGCCAATTCGGTTCGCTTGCGACATGAGACTGGACCCGTTACAGCTTAAATGCCACTACCAAAATACCCCCCCACTCTAGAAATAAAAGCGTCCCCATACTTAGGTCTCGAAATACCCAAAATACATGAACGCCGTTAAAAACCGGGTCGGAACAATCCGCTTAGTTACTTTTTATTGGACAGTGGAACTTTGATCCATTTCAGATGGATCAACCTAAAACTCGCCTTATCTCAACATAACTATCATAAAATACACTCGAGAAATTTAAATTGAGAACTCACATGTCGATGCACTTGAGTATGAGGAGTAATTAAAAGATAAGCAGCTCGAGAATCAAATAATATAACTAAATAAGTTTGATGCTAATTAGTTTTAACCACAGAAGTAAGTTCTGTCTCAAGAATCAAAGTTTCTGCATGAACCATCGGGACACTTGAGTTGTCCTCTCTTCCATTGAATGTTCTTCTTGTTCTGAGTGCGGGAGCAGCTTTCACAATACCAGACTATCTCGGTTATTGATGCGTATACGTCATCGGATATTTTTGCGCATTTTAGATTATACCAGTTTCGGCAACTCTCGCATTCAACCCCCTTTGATCTATATGTGACTTTTCTGCTGCAACATGGGCACAAACTCTTTTTGTCATTAATTTGCTGTAACTTCGTTCCCACCGGTATTTCTTGTCTTAGAGCAAAATCGTACTCTTTCAGCCATAAGTTTGCCAGAATAACAGCGGGGGACGCGCCCATTGCTAAACCATCAACTTGTACATACCATGAACCATTACACTTAAAATGTACTTTGCTGACCGCCAGATTCAAAAGCCTTTTAATGGTTGATCTTTGAATTTCAGGGGGAGACTCCTGGCTGTACAGCTTCAGTAAAGCAATTTCAATTGCCTCCTTCGGTGGAACGTTGGTGTGCAAACTTTTCACATCAAGAGACTCAGAGCCAAATTTTCAATTGTTTCTCTGGCATCTTTAGTATTGGTTTCTATATTGGCTCCATCGATGATGTCAAAAAACTTTGACAGCGTTTTGTTAAGATTCTCATACGAGCTGCCTCGAAATGAGAGTACTGGTTGTAGGGGTGTCTCAGCCTAGTGTACCTTAGCTAAACCGTACAAACGGGAGGGTTGCCCTCATCTTAGAATATTACCGATCACTTATCTTGTCTCTTTTGTTCATGGCTAGTAGTTCTTTGTTAAGTTCCTTCCCAATTTTCAGTATAACCTCATCAGTGGTTGCATCTTTTTTCAAAAACTGAGCAGATTGCAACAAAAATTTTAGCTTTGATTCATACGTTTGTTTCCTCAGAATGCAAAAACCAACCCCCTTATCAAAAGGCGCAGCCAGCAACCCATTACCTTTGAGATATTTCCTCGTTTTTTCAACGGCTTTGTCTCTTGGTGTTTGCTTTATGTTTTGTGCGTATGAATTTGCCGCGGCTTCTATTTCACATAAAGTTTCACCAGATGTTTTTTTGATTTTTCAATTGTGAGGCGCACTGTATGCGCACTGTATACTCCGCTGTGCTTCGACATATGCTTCTTGGCATTCTCGTACAACCATGAAGTCATGTTGGCTCTAAACCATGGCATCAGTCGTCTTCTGACCCATATCTTCTTCAATTTCATCGGAATGTTCAAGATTTTGCACATTGTCTCGAAAAGATGTTACCACCATACTCTACTCTTAAAAAATACATATAAAAACTTTCCATGAGTTTTTTCAAATAAATGTTTTTGTGTCGTGTGATAAAAAAAGATCTGACGAAAACCTAGAAATTAGGCATACTCAACAGTCAAAGTAAAATTGGGCAAAGGTTTTATTCAAAAAAATATAGCCAATCGAAGATTGGAAAAGAGTAATGAACGCAAGTAAACATTAAAAAAAACAGTGACTTTCTTGAAAAAATCTCAACTTTTGAATTTCACAGAAAAAATAGACGCCCTGGAAGCTCTCTAAATTTCTAGAACAATTTATGATTGGCGCTTTTTTGATAACATGAACCCAACTTGAGAAAACTGGATCAATAGGCAAAGTTTTTATTCCTCTGGGAAATCTTAAAAATAAATTCCACTTTCGAAACTAGAAATCGTTCACGTTTTTTTTCGCGCCATTTCCACGTTCGTATTTGGAGAGTGCTATTTACGTCATTTTCAGCAGATGAATTTCAATTGAACTCAAAAAGTGCATTATTTGAGTTCATTATTTAAGTGCTTTTTAAGCTCAAAGTTAGACTAAAACTCAAAAACTTCACACCGGTTTTTCTCGCCACTAGGACACTGGTCTCTCGAATCAGGAATGAAAGGGCTTTATTATGATATATCACTCCACCCATTACGATGATTATTTGTGGTTCCTGATTTTTCGTGCAAAACAAAAAAAAAGAAAACTAAAACACACCCGAGAACAAAGTTCCTCCCTATTTTCAATAGTCGGAACAATTAAATGTCTCGAGGTGTAAAACCTAATGCCATAATTCACAGTAGGCAAAGCGGAGCTTTGCACCATTTGCGATATCGCTCAGACATAACATTGGAATATAGCAGACAAAAATAAAACCATATTTTTAAATTCGAGAAAAAATATACAAAATCAGGGATAGTTAATCAAATACACTTGCAACTACCATGAAAACCGCTTACAGTATAAAAAAGTGTGACTTGGAAGCTAAGACGAAACATAATCAGACTAACGATAGGCCAACAAAATTTTTAACGCGGAATATTTGCAATTTGAAAAAAAAAATTAAGTCCTGGTCTAGAAAATGATTCAAACCTGAGACCTTTACCGTTCCAGATAGAGTCGTTATCTCTCGACCAAATGGGATGGAGATGCCAAGAAATTTGATTTTATTGTAAATCAAGCTATCAAAAGATTTTGTTAACTCCACTGTTAATCTGAAAGTTATATTTGATCGAGCGCAATCATCGAACTCACTCTGAAAAATGCGACAGTGATCCTGATAACTTTGTCTTTGATAGCCTCGCTGAGAATGGAACCCAACACGGGTATGGGATTGTACTGTACCAAAGTAGTCTCCACTATATTTTGACTGAACGACAGCAGCCAGAGACAGTTAATGAGCTGGTACTGCAACTGGAATCGGATCTTTTTCCCAAGAGCTCTAATGATTACTCCTACAGCTTCCTTCGTGTTAACCAGTCGCTGTCTATAAGCTTCTACACTTAGTAACTTCATCAAACATCTTGCAACGTTTTGGAGGTATTCGTTCTAAAAGATAACAGTTTCCAAGTATCTTGAAAATCGTAGCGTTATGGAAAAATTCAGTAGAAATCGCTTTCGGAATCATCTACGCATTTTTCTTAAGGATATCTTTTCGTAGTCGTGATTTTTAGTGACTGAATAATACTCACGCTTTCAATTATTTGACAAAATCAATTATTGTTTATGTTTAGGTCCCTCTCCAATCTGTTCGCATTATCTTGTCAGAGTACATACTCTCCTAATACTTTCGAATATTTAGTTAACTACTATTTTTCTTCTATTTTCAAGAAAATTAATTTTTCCGATGCAAGTGGTGATTCGTAAAAAAAGGTTACACTGGTACACCATACCAAACAACCCGTTAACCTTTCTTGAAATATCGTATCTTCAAATCCTTTGAGATTTTTTAATACTGAAAGGATGAACCAGTCAACTCATATCTTGTTATGTTACTTTAAGGCTTGAAATAATCAGTTGTACAGCCTCTTCGAGACCAGAAAGACTACAACCACAATGGACTTACACCGTTTGTTCCAAGTTGCGTAATAAACCATGTGAAATAATAATCCAGATCCTGTTCCTCCATCTGGTCTACTGCGTTAACACAGATCGTAGCCAAAATTCTAGCCACCTGATGAGCAATAAAGGCATCCGGTCTGAGTAGAAAGGGGAGAAAGCAACTCAGACTAGAGCCTCCTTTCTTCGAATGCTGCACGAATAATTCTACCCGCGAGTTGTCTTCCTGCAAACAAACAATTATGAGGTGAAGATTAAGAGCAGATTAATAGTAACCGTGAAAGTTCCGAAGGCCAAAAGTCCCATTTGCACTATTTGAAATCTCGGCTGGTGCACTTAATGGTAAATTTCTTCGGCAAAGTTAAAACTAGAAACACACTATGATACGTTGAGAAAAAGTACAAACACCTATGACCAAAAAACATCAACTTCCATGAATTGTTAATAATTTTCATTTTGTTCACATTCTTTATTTTACATCGCTACTATTCTACGTAATTGATCCTATAAATAAAAACAAATAGAGATTTCAATAACTTCAATGATCTCAATGTTATTCAAACTCAAAAACGCTTTGAACAAACCTCCAGCAGATCATCGACAATTGTCAAAATGTATCGCAGATTCTGATCTTTTGGAATATGGCGAAGCAATGTCAGGATTGATTTCACGCACTAAAACTTCATCTTTTTTCAAATCAAGTTTTTAATATATCCAAGTACGACAAGACCAGCAGCCAATTTACCTCGGGTCCTTTGGTATCTAATAATTCGCATTTACGGTGTCTAGGTGCCAAATCGAATTGTTGGATAAACTCAAAGTCTTCTTTGCTGATCATTTGACCTCTAAAACAACAGCGTTGATATAAAGCCTGGCACTAGCGGTTGGAGCACCTGTTCACAAACAAATTACTGGTAATAGCTCTGCCAATTGATTCGGGATTCTCTTACTTCCACCGCTTCAATTTTCAGCTTGTCCATGGCACCTGGCATGTCTTTGAAAGACTGGGTAGCAAACTCAGTAGCCATTTTTATCTGCAACCATTTTAAATGATTGGTTTATTGTGCAATACTTGGATTGGCGACAATACACAAGAATGGGATGCCACTCTGCTCAGATCTAGATAGAGAGAAAGACGTAAGCTTCATAAATGCGCCGAAGGCCGATACCTATGCATTAGAGGAAAACGTTTAAGTTAAATGGGCTTCAAAGGTAAGAAAATTAAATGACAAATTGTATAATAAAATACAGACAGGGGCAAAGCTGAGCTTCGAACCACTCGCGAAAAAACTAAATGCCAAAAACAAACACTGAATGAACTCTATTGGAGAAATCAAAAAAATGCAAGTCTTATAGGAAAAAACTACCTAAAAATGATAAGAAGGATCGGGCCACATGAACTTCATTCAATTCTTTCTCATAACCAATAGACAGAAACGATAAGAAAAAACATTGGTAACCCAATCGAGATACAAAAATTGTTAATTTACTCAAAAACTTTGCTTAAACTCGGGCAATTAAACAACTTGCATATCTTACAGGAACATAATTGCGGACAAGCACAGTCCCTATACGTTATTTGCTATAAAGTAGGATCAAAATGAAAGTAAAATTGAAAAAAAAAATGGCAAATAAATTTTTCTGGGATTTTTTCTTCGAAAAATATTTGACATGAAAACAGTAAGATATGCCATTACCTAGAATCGATTTCAAGTGAAACAGCTTGAACCTAAAACACACCCAACTAATTGAAACTATAATTATTAGATGCACTTTCAGAACGAAAACATTAAATCGAAACTATGCCTCCTGAAAAACTGAAAATTTCTTCCATAAAAAATACTTGAAAACATGTTGTAACAGACAATTATGGCTCGTTTAAAACCAGGAAACCATTAACTACATTGAAAAACTCGACAAAAATATGTTTGAAAATCTACCAACAAGTTAGGGAACTGAAGACCGGGCAAGAGAGCCGACAAAAATTGGGATGAAATCAATAAAGCCGACAAAGTCAAGTTTGTTAACTTTCTTTCAGCTGCAGACTCAGTATTCTTTCGATAGCTCTAGAACGATGCTTAATAAAAAAAATACGACAGGCCATTAAGACGTCAAGGCATGAAGATCACAAGACATTAAACGACAAGACATTAAGACAGAAGCATTATAGAAAGTAATTTTCAAAACTACTCCAGAAATGCAATTTTGAGAATAGCGTGTAGTGTCGTCTTAAGGTCCCATCAAAAGCAGCTGTCGTTTTAACAGTTGTCGTCTTATTAGCCGGACACCATCTAAAACAGCTTTTTTTTTCAAGGTAATCAGAAGGTCAGAAGTATCATAGTAACCGAATTTACAGTCATAGTCCCTTCATCATGTATTCCAGTCAAAATCCTTGGAATTTTTTAGATATGGAAGTGATAATGATAAGAGAAGATGACACGTGTTTAAGTCCTTTTCAATTGAAATCGATACGGGTTACGTTTCTTCAATAAGAACACGCAACTCGACACGAGATAATATAATATACAAGTGTTACAAGTAAAAAATTTCGTCGAAAGTTATTTTGTCATTTATTGTTCCGAGTACGCAAGCGGCGTTCGCAATCTGTATTGCCAGGGAGATTCTCTGTTTTAAAAAGCTGCCTGCTCTGGGTTCCTCAGTGCATATGCTTAGGTTCTTACAAAGCTTGCTCAAAAAAACTTCTGTGCTGGGGCCAGCCGCGCCCTGAATTTCAAAAGCTAGCGGTTGAAAAAGATATCCATCATTTACAAGATCTTTATACTTGTCAATTTTTCGCACTTCCGCTTCAGCGGCAGCCGTACCAGGGTTACAAACAAACCCGGCATTAATCCTACAAGGAGCTAAGTAGTCTACTACCGTTACATCCCACAAGAGCTGCTTACCATCAGCCCATGGAACGAGCGTCAAACCGTCTGGTCGCTTCTGATCGGTCCTGTAGAGGTGTCGTGGTTCTAAAATAGACGGAATGTGAGTAGATGATAGACTCTGCTTTATAAGGGCATTCAGGTTTGAATGCCTAGAGAATCTCCCTGCACTTTTGAGGCAAGAAAGACCATGCCAACCATCCTCGGTAACGTCTTTTCCATCCTCGGTAACGTGCCAACCATCCTCGGTAACGTCTTTTATACTACAGCTGTCAACCGTTCAAAACCGAACACATGTCTCAACTGAAAAACTCAACTGAGAAACGGAGTTAAAACTAGTTATTCCCTAAAATTTCCAAAGTTCCTTACTTACAATATTTATTTAATTCTAGAGTTGCGTCACTATGTGAGTACATAATTCAATTTATTGAGTGTATTTTCACAGAGTCATGTTGAGATACAGCGGGTTTTAGGTTGATTCATCTGAAATGGATTAAAGGCCCACTGTGACTGAAGAGATTTTTGCTAAAAGTAAATTTCAAACGTAATCGCAACTATGTGCATTGTCAGGATTCTTAAAATAAACTAATCTACATGACGATAATACATCAATTTACAAATGCTATTTACAATAATTCACATACATTTTGGTTCTAAACCATTATGTTAAAAAATAAGCCAATCAAAACACAGTTCACTTCTAAATTACTATTGAGATTAAAAAATTTTTATCCTCTAAAATTAATTAAACATTTTTCAATTTATTTGACTGGAAGTTCCTGAGTCATAATTTCGATTTAGACATGTACGTTTTACATAAAGAACCAAAAACATTTTGGGACTAAATTTTCAGTGTTAACTCCTTGCTCCTGAACTCATCGCGCGTGTTCAGGCCCGGTTTCTTTTTCCTGATATGTTTTGCTTCTTGTAACAACAATTGTAATTTGTTGTTTGACTTATGTATAATTTCTCAACTGAGATCTGCGGTATTTCCCTGAAGGTGGAGGCCTTCTGGTGAATCCCTTTTTTATGTTCCTCAATTCTAGAGGTCAAATGTCGAACAGTTAGTCCGACATAGGTGGAAGTGCATCCACTACATGACACTTTATAAACCACTCTTGACTTAGATTCATTAGAAAATTGAATGCTGACTTCAGTGATGGTAAACATGATTCTAGCTTTCTTGTGGTGAAAACCACTTGAACGTTAGTTAAAATTCGTAACCCGTTGGCAAAATATTGGCTTTGGTTACCTCAATATTGCATCATAAGCATTGGGCTCTTCAAATCCGCTGGTGATTGAGTTGACAAACACCTCTCACTATCGAGGGGCTTGCCTTTACCCTCGATGATTTTGCTCGGGGCGTCTGCCGCCACCTTTGCGGACCAATTTTCAAGGTATTGATTTGACAGCCATTGCGCCCTTTCAGTTTCCATAGCCTTATCAAACTGCTTCCTGCTGGATCTACTACTAAAAATTCTGTGCACGGTGCCTTGGATAACACTACGCTCATACTGATTTGGGGCGCAGCTTCTATAGTTCAGTGTAGTCCAGTAGATGTTGGTTTTTGATACCAACTGCAAGTTACAATCCTATCCTGCGATACATTTATGTTCAAATCCAGGAACGGCAAGTTCCCCTCCGAATTAGTTTGTACGTCTAGAGTGAACTGCAGATTTGGAAGATGAGAATCGACGGCATCGAGAAGACAACTCGGCTCCCCTCTGACTGTTCTAACAATGTCATCCACATACCTGAGGAACATTTTCACCTGAGAAGTATGTTTCTTCTTGTTCTGAGTGCGGGAGCAGCTTTCACAATACCAGACTATCTCGGTTATTGATGCGTATACGTCATCGGATATTTTTCCGCATTTTAGATTATACCAGTTTCTGCAACTCTCGCATTCAACCCCCTTTGATCTATATGTGACTTTTCTGCTGCAACATGGGCACAAACTCTTTTTGTCATTAATTTGCTGTAACTTCGTTCCCACCGGTATTTCTTGTCTTAGAGCAAAATCGTACTCTTTCAGCCATAAGTTTGCCAGAATAACAGCGGGGGACGCGCCCATTGCTAAACCATCAACTTGTACATACCATGAACCATTACACTTAAAATGTACTTTGCTGACCGCCAGATTCAAAAGCCTTTTAATGGTTGATCTTTGAATTTCAGGGGGAGACTCCTGGCTGTACAGCTTCAGTAAAGCAATTTCAATTGCCTCCTTCGGTGGAACGTTGGTGTGCAAACTTTTCACATCAAGAGACTCAGAGCCAAATTTTCAATTGTTTCTCTGGCATCTTTAGTATTGGTTTCTATATTGGCTCCATCGATGATGTCAAAAAACTTTGACAGCGTTTTGTTAAGATTCTCATACGAGCTGCCTCGAAATGAGAGTACTGGTTGTAGGGGTGTCTCAGCCTAGTGTACCTTAGCTAAACCGTACAAACGGGAGGGTTGCCCTCATCTTAGAATATTACCGATCACTTATCTTGTCTCTTTTGTTCATGGCTAGTAGTTCTTTGTTAAGTTCCTTCCCAATTTTCAGTATAACCTCATCAGTGGTTGCATCTTTTTTCAAAAACTGAGCAGATTGCAACAAAAATTTTAGCTTTGATTCATACGTTTGTTTCCTCAGAATGCAAAAACCAACCCCCTTATCAAAAGGCGCAGCCAGCAACCCATTACCTTTGAGATATTTCCTCGTTTTTTCAACGGCTTTGTCTCTTGGTGTTTGCTTTATGTTTTGTGCGTATGAATTTGCCGCGGCTTCTATTTCACATAAAGTTTCACCAGATGTTTTTTTGATTTTTCAATTGTAAGGCGCACTGTATGCGCACTGTATACTCCGCTGTGCTTCGACATATGCTTCTTGGCATTCTCGTATAACCATGCAGTCATGTTGGCTCTAAACCATGGCATCAGTCGTCTTCTGACCCATATCTTCTTCAATTTCATCGGAATGTTCAAGATTTTGCACATTGTCTCGAAAAGATCTAAATCTTTTAGACAATCAAGTTCCTGCAGTTGTTCTTTCGTCGGTATCTCCTGTCGATTATTCACATTTACATGAGCTTCCAGCCATCGAATTGCCATCATAACTCCCACTATCACTATCGTTATGGGCTGTGATGAATCTGGTAAACCC